TTTACTTTGTATTTGAGGGAAATTTTCCAAGTACAAGCCCCCGGGGGGCTTATATTTGGAGGGGCGATTTAACGGAGGGTTTTTTGCATTACCGGTTTGGGGGGCTTATACATGGAGGTGCTTATTTTCGGAATTTTACGGTATCTGCTAGCAGATAACTGATTATTATTATATACATACTGAGAAATACTCACCAAAAAGCTATGTTGTAAATTTTCGTACGCAAATTAGTTCTAGCCAATCAGAGGAGCGAACGATGGTTTTCACACGTGAAAAAAATGATACGTCCAATCAGAATCGCGAACGATGTTTTTTCACGTGTGAGAAAAATGATACGTCCAATCAGAAGCCACAGAGGTGCGTGAGTTTCGCGCCAAAATTCCCGCCTTTTATTGCAGCTTGCAGCGCCGCTTCGCACAGATTCAACGAGAAAGTTTTTCTCGCTAAAAAAGTGAAAAACATTTCGGAAATGGAGTGGAATAGTTTTGTTTGTTTCACTGTCGATAAAGAAAACAGTAGAGAGCCGGCGAAACAACAGCGGAAAGGGATAAACAGAACGAGACGTAAGCTTTTGTTGTGCTTTTTGTCGGAGCTACTTTGCCTTTCATTTAAGCTTAAGCTTATATTGAAACCGGCCATTCTACTTAAATTCACTCATTTTTAATTGTGCATTGAGAACAAACAGTTAAGATTACTTATAGTTCTTGGATTACCTCATATCCTCACCGTCATTTATGCTTTTGACAAACGTTTTTACTAAAAAGCTGATACTTCGTTTTCGTTGTCATTTTGCGGTAAGTGTGTAGCGGCAAATTTTAGCATTTTTGAAAGATTTAAAATAAAAAGTCCGCCAAAATGATGAATGTCTCAGTATGTATATAATAAACAAAATATCACATGGAAAGTGCTTTGTACGGTATTTACGCACTCGTTGTTTTTGTATCAAAAATCTTACTCGTTCGCTGCGCTCACTCGTTCGATTTCTGATACGTCAACAACTCGTGCGTAAATACTGTACGCCAGCACTTTCCATGAAGTATTCTCTATATCTGTAGTCAGTTACAGTGTATCTGAATAATCTGACTAATCTGTAGGTTACGTGCAATACATGATTTCCAATAACATTTTCAATTTAGGCTCCTTGCGACAGTGTGTTTGTCGTTATTTTCTTCAAAACAATGTATAATCTGGGTAAGTGTTATCAGCCTCGGCCTTTGGCTTGGCTGATAACACTTACCTCAGCCTTGGTTATTCCGGATGTCACAAAAACCTCATCCAATAATAATACTGTTTAATACATTTTCAATTATAATTCAAATCATTATTAATTTTTGCTCCTCTTTCCCCAGGTGATAGAGAGTTTATTTTTCTAGATGAGCAGCTAACTAAATTAATTTTGGATCTTGATAAAGTCCAAACTGATGGCTTAGAAGATGTCCGAATCGCGCGCAAGTCAGCTGTACAGAGAATACAGTTCTTGATTGACACATTAGAATCTAAAGGTTGAAACAGCAACGTAATATTATTTATAGTTATGGATTGAGTTACTCAAAGCCCGATTAGCTCCAATTGGCCTTTTGCATTAGATGATCATGTGATCAGCTCTCTGTAAACACAAAAACAGTTTGCTTTTAAAAACTTCTCTTAGCACAAACTGAAAGAGCATGCTCATGTTAGGAAGAAATTTTTCTTGGTAACTTAAACAATCATTTCCGCAAGTCAATTGGTTTGGTACATATTTAACTTTTAGACGAGCCTTTTTTTGTTAGAATTCAAAAATGCTTATAGCAATAGAAGAAGAATTTATCAGTTTTATAGTGCAGTAAAAAGCACTTATAGCTAGAACCTGAAAGACATTGTTCACCTTTAATTAATTTTACAAAGTTTATAACAAAGTTGGCCAGTTATAATAAAAGTAGAAAGTACAATATTTTAAATTTATTTTAAGGATGTGGTTCACCATTATAATGGCTGTATAATGGTTGTGAATTGAATTGTACACTTTTTTTGTGCATACTTCAAAAATACTTGTATGCTTGGCAAAAGTTTGTACAAGTTAAAAATATAACGTTATTACAGGTTTAATAGAGCGAAATAATCAGTGCAATATTTAGTGGATAAAATCTTCATGTTAGTTAATGGATAGGTCCAGGTGACCAGATCATGCTGCCTAGTAAAATATGTTATTTTTGGTGCATTTGCGTCAGCATTTTGTTTACTGGAAGGCTGTGCTTTAAGAAACATTTCCCAGGGGTTGGGGATGGGGGGGGGTTACTTTGGTTAATTTCTGCTGGGTTTGTGCTGCTGGCCTCCCAGAACCCCTTCCTCATTATAGTCTATTCTGAGGCAAAAATTATATAGACCCCATCTTAGTAACTTTTTGGGAAAATGTAATTTTTCTGATCCCAACTTAACCTCATAAAGCCTAGAGACAAAGTCGGAGTCAGAGTTGGAGATTATGACCAAGTGAAATTTATAAAAAATTTGAGTCATAAGCAGTCATAATCACGACAGAACCAGAGTCAGAAGAATCAGAACGTTCCCAATTTCCTTCAACTCCACCTACGACCCCTTCGCTTAGGGATCTAGTGGAATTCGAAATCAGATCGTCGGAGTCAGAAGCAGAAGTGGAAGGATTAACCAATCACAATGCTCCTTCCCCTGTGAAATAATTTGTGATTGGTTTAGTTTTGCTGCTTCTGCTTGCCTCTACAATAACCTAGTTTTCACGTAATGATCATAAACAATGGAGTTGAAAGAGATTGTAATGCTCTAGGCTTCTGATTTCAATGGTAAACACTGACTGTGACTCTGACTCTGTCGCTAGTGAAAACCAGACTTTTGGGTTTAGGGAATAGATAAACTGTTGAGGCTGGTGGTTTTCACCATAATGACCACTGCAATAATTATTGCTTGGATTACTGAAATATTGCAATAATTCCCCAGTGTACGGAAAAAAACACTTCAGGGATTATAGTAATCACAGTGGTTGATGATCACTGACTCTGAAATAGACCTCAGTGCCAATCAGGCGTGAGAAATTGGCTAAATGGTCCTTCTCCCATACATGACACTTCAACATGGCTTAGCCAAAGTATCCAATCTATAATACATGTCTGCTATTGACTGGATATGCAAAAAAATCTCCCTTGAAAGTGCTTCAGGACAGCTTTCGGCCATTACGATTTCCGGTCAACAAGTGCACGCGGGCGTGAGATCGAAGTTTTCAACCCGCAGGCGTGAGACTCCCGCCTAAGGCGTGAGAGTTGGCAGGTATACGATATATCGCCATAGGTGAAGCAAACGGTAAATCCAGTACATTTACTATAAAATAACAATCGGCTACACAAACAGATTGTGTGGGCTCCCTGTGCACTTGACTTTGTGGATAAGCGTTTTCTCGATAACTTCGCCTTCGGCAGACTTCGGACGTCTTCGGAAGACTTCGGACTTCTTCGGGAATCTTCGGAAATGATCGTGTCGTCTTAAAAAATCCCAGCACTCCCAGGATAAAAATCTCACGCTTTTATCTCAGAAAAAGTTGGCAGGTATAATATCGCTAACTATGTATATAAATCAATGATAAATAAACGTTGGATTACCTTGCCTGTGGTGTATAGTCGTCCTTTTGCCTCAAAAGCGGTTTTTTGAACGATTTTGAATGAATTTGAGTTCGCCGTTGACTGTTCCATATAATAGAAGGACAAGGGAGGAATCCTTGTTTTGAAAGGGTTCCAGCGCCGGAGCGATTTTTCCCCCCAAAATCGCATCGCTCCGCTTTCAATCTTCGCAGCATAAAGGTCAAAAGATTCACGATTCTTCTCGTACCTTCCAATCGAAAATCCATCCAAACGGCCCGGAGCTAGCCCTCGAAGAAAATCAAAATCCCACAGTATTCGAGCGACCGGAATGCGTAGCAAGATCCATACGTGCCAGCCACAAACCGTCTCGCTGATTGCCTTTTTCTTTATTGGATGTCGTTAAACAAATGGTTAAATAATAACTGATGAAGAAGACTTGGTAAGCGTTTGTTGTTTAACGACATCCAATCAAAAAGAGGCAATCAGCGGGACGGTTTCTGGCTGGCACGTATGAATCTTGCTACGTATTCCAGTCGCTCGCATACTGTGGAATTTTGATTTTCTTCGAGGGCTAGCTCCGGGCCGTTTGCTTGTTCTATAAATTAGGGGGGGGAGAGAACTCTGATTACGGTTCATTGCCGGTCGGCGAACGTACATGAATGTTTAAGATCTTGCGAATCTTAGGTGAAGGAAGGTGGTTTCCCAGGGCCGATGAGCGCTAATGAGGATCAAAATTTTGCTCCACTTTTTCTATTTATCTCAACAGTATTTTGTAAGCTGGAGTTACATACGTGTTACATGTTCTCACACAAGAAAACCGTGCACAAAATTTGGCTTTATCTTGGGTTAAACGTAACCATCTTTCGAGGAACCGGACCCTGGCCAATAATTTTTACTCACAGAATAACATTCAGTGGATAAATCTTCGATTTCCTTTTTATTCGCTTTCTGCAAAAAAGTTCTCAGAGTTCTTGGAATACAACTGCTTATCTATTTTTTTTAAATCTGCTTTTAAGCCCTATATAACAAATACTTAAACATGTTAACGATACCAGACTGAAAGAATAACAAGAACACCACGAAAAACACTTCAAACATTTACCTGCAATATTAAAAGTTAAGGTAAAATATATCTTGTTTCAGTGTTCAGTAATTCGGAATTTTAAACAAAAAAAATAAGAATAAGATTTTACAAAGTACAATCCCTCCTTTCCTCAATTTCAAGTAAAAATATATACTTCGGAAAAAAAAATAACAATAATAATAATAACAAGAAAGGAACTTTACGTTCGCATCCCCTGCTTCAACGGTTCTTTCATGTTGTTTCTTTTCTTTACAGACTGTGATAATTCAATTATATCTGTTGACAATTCTTGTCCTCAGCACGGGTGGCTACAATTCCTTTCCTAGGACTTAAGTTTAATATTTTTCATTGCAAGTTGACAGACGGTTTCTCCAGTGCCGTAAATAATCCAAAGCATTGATCCACCTAGAAAAACGACTGACGTTAGAGAACGGTTCAAAAACGAAGTATAATGATATCAGCTTTAGTCACAAGATGCTCTGTGCTTCGTCAAACATGGGTCTCACTGTGAGCAGTGGTGTTATCGAGAGAGACTCCAGGCTTAATGTTAATGCGGACCAATTATAACAAGTGCGGACAATATAATGAGCCAATCAGAATCAAGCGCGGGAAAACGCATGTCACAGTATCAGACCACGTGATATTCTTAAGGGAATTTGCCTTCCTGGCTATGCATACATATGCACATGGATCGTGCGGCATTTGTAAGAAACAGTTCTCATAAACAAAAACAGACCATATCTAGGAATTCCAAACAATAGTTTATATGAACGGTACCTTAGCTTTTCCTCTTCATCGTGCGCCATTAACTGGTAAGTTCGGGTGGGCGTCACCACATTAAAACATGCCTTGTTAATGTCTTGCTGTGAAGGCGGTTGGTCCTGAACAGCGATCACTACATCAAGATCAATGAATCTGAGACAAAACCACGAAAAAAGAATTTAGTCGTTTAGTCTTATGGCATTGATGGTACATTAAACAGTTTACTGAAGTCTAAAAGGAAAGATTAATATGTTGTCATTATCGCTTCAACTATTATTTTAATTACACATTGTACGATGCACGATCGATTGTGCAATGCATGATTTCTAAGAGCAACATCAAGTCACAGGTGTAGAGTGGCATCTTTGCACACAGCCAAAAACATGACTCGTCGGTTTGCCGCCTCGACTGAACAAGAAATCAATAAATTATTTGAAGATAAAGACTCTGAAAGTTTAAAAACATACACCAAAACTGCACAGGAAGTCTTCCATGAACGGTGTAAAATTTCTTTAATCGCATATTCGTACCTTCTTTTTTGGAAAAAAATAGATTGTGTTTCATTTGAGAAACTGGGGACAATGTCTTACCAGACCAGTTCCAAACGGTCGTGGCAGTTTTGACTTCTGATTGGTGCCAGAAAACTTTTGTGTTTTTCTGCCCAATGAGAAGGCAGAACGGCGGCGACCGTTTGGAACTGGTCTGGTAAGACATTGTCCCCAGGGGCTCTTCTCTCCGTTCTTTACTTTTCTTCGTGCCATATTTTTCCGCCCGTTTAGACTTTCCCTCGCCCGTATAACTGCCCCTGGGTCTCCGAGGATGCGTTTGTCGTTACTTTCTTTGATGAGTGTTTATCAAAACAATCATTAGATGATTGTAATATGCGGAATTATCAACGCATTAGTAAGTATTATAAGTTTCGGCTGATAATAACATCTTCCAGGTATCACAAAAACCTCATCCAATAATATTTTATTATTAGACTGCAGGAGATAAAACAGAGCGTAGCGTAAACTGGGTTCGACGCAACTCAGCACAAATTACACAAGATAAGTTGTAAGAAAAAATCCGTCTTGCGCTTAAATTAGGACTTTGTTTGTACCCTTCATCAAATCAGCAAACGAAGGAAATTCTGAATCAAACTAGGTTGAATATTGGTTTAACCTGAGAGTAGATTTCGTCTACAACAGATACAGTGTATGCAATAGAACGACCTGTCCGTTTGTTCAAAACATGACATTTTCTGTCCATGAAAATGATGTGGCCATTGTATACAGTCTCACTATTCACCACTCCAGTAAACTACAGGGCGAATGGATACAAGCTGTCGGGGCAACGATTTCTAGAATCGTTTGCGTGGACACGCGCTAGTTATAAATAATCCATAGTATCCAAGGGAATAGCCTGCGAACAGCAGACGCATTTCCGGTCGTCGCTTCTCTCCCTCCGAAAAATAGCGACGCTATTTCCAACGACCGGAAATGCGTCTGCTGCTCGCAGGCTACCAAGGGAACCAATCAACCAATCATAGTTTACATTGTCCACACACACGATCCCAGCAATCTTTGTGCTAAAGGCTTGGTACTCATTTTCGATATAAATTATGGAGTGAAGAATTATGATTGACTGCAAAAGGACCTTCTTCGGCGAGTTTTCCCTAAAAGACAAGTGTCACAGGATACCCAGCTACGTACCCTCTAGGCAACGTGTTGTTGTTTTTCTGATAATAATAGAGCCTGCCATTTTTATCAGTAGAAAACCAGCGGCGTCTCCATCTTCTTCCAGTGAGTCCTTTCACACCTCTCTTACATAGCCAGCCTCTAACTTGACAAAGCTGTGAAAAAACAGTTAACAGCTTAAAGGCAACGTCTTTTATATACTCCCCCCGGTCTCTGCACATCCAACGCCGTCGTCAATGTTACTGGCAGAGTCTAACTTCGCTTCTTAAGTGGTTTCAACGTCCGCGTATGAATGTCGCTTAAAGCTCTAAAACATTAATAATAATAATAATAATAATAATAATAATAATCAACTTTATTTAACGAGGGTAACACGGGACAGTACTTCAACTGAATAAATAGTGGCACGAGTTTTCAAATTAAAAAAAAACACAGAAAAGGGAAGATATTTCGACCTGCGTGGTTAAGTATTTAATTAGAATTGCAGAAAAAAGTATGGCCAATAAACAGCTGCCAATAGGCCTCTCCAAAAAATACTATAACATTCTTTAAAAGGGCAGGTTAAGCCTCGCATTCAGGAAGAGTCAAAGTCCCACGTCCCATTTTCGACACGAAGTATGCGTGCCCTTCAGCTGCTTCTTGGCAATTTACATAATACTTGAAGCGCATCTGAAAACGAACGCACCATTGCAACGCTGGCATAAAGGCGCCTTCAAAATCTCAGAACATAATACCAACGTTTCACTGGTACGTTAGTATCAAAGGGGCATATCAAGCAAATGGAAATCGAAATAAGGACGTTGTACTCCTACGTAATAGGAGAGTAGACCAGCACTTAAAATAATATTATGGTATTTTTCTAAATGTCTATTAAGGCGTGAGTAGCAAAGATTTCACTTGCAAAAATATTTCTTACCTCAATTTTCTTAGCATTCAATTTACCTCCATGCATTTTAAGAACATTAGCAGTGCATTAAAAAATAAAAACCTTACAATTATATTTGTCATGAGCTGAGTTTTAATTAAAGTGCTTGCCTTACAAAGAAAGCGAGAATATGTATTTTACGTTAAAGCATCAACTTAGATTATTTAGATTAATATTGTTGTAGTCTGGGCTTCCAGAATTGCGTAAACAAGGCAATGCTATAAGGCTGAATAATGGGTGAGAACGCTGAGGTTACATGTATCATTTTGCTTCGCCCAACATTCCATGTTCAACTGAAACTAAGGCTCCTCATCTTCATATTATTCAGTATTTAAGCCTAATTGTATCGAAGTAATTATATAGCAAATATACCTGAAGGGAAGCGGCAGATCATTATAATATGGCAACGCACTTAAAGAGAAATAAATGTGGAGAAGCCGGGCTGTAGGAGAGAATAAATCTATCCTGTACTCCACCCCAAGGAGCATGCGCAGTGGCGGATTTAGGGCAGTGGCCCGAAAACCTGGGTCCCCAACTTATTTTTAGGCCAAACTGAGTCACTCAGGGTTAAGAACAATTTATCCTTATCATAGGAATTAGATGAGCGGACCTCCCATTAACTTAAAGACCTGAATCCGCCACTAAAAGTGAGCAGCACACGATAGAAAGAGGTCGAGGTTGGGATAGACAATTTCACAAAAAGCACTGTATTTTTTGTCTTAGTTCATAGCAGAAACTCTTGCAAAAAATATATATAAAGGATTGATTAACTCATTGGTTATCGACACAGCAATAACTGGGTAAAACAAACAACTTGGCAAAAAATCAAGTTAGGCAAGACATCCTTACCTCAATACTAGAAGAAAAGTTTTGCTTTTCCTTTGAGTTGTCCAGCTCTGTTTCCGCTCGCTGGAGCTATAAGGCGTTCAAAGGATGATTAAAAAAGACTCACAAAGACCGTCAACATCAAGCAATCTACAAACATCCCAGGAATTTAAACGGAAAACATCGTCATAATTTTGACATGGTATACATTGAGGACAGACGGTTGTGCTTTAAAACAGTCCTCGGGTCCAAATAAAAAAGAACGACCCAATTACTGCAACCCTTGACTCTTGCTCCAATCTCGTCCCCAGAGCCTCCGTTACTTTTGTACCGTGGATTTTAGTAATCTCCATCGCTGTACAAAAAGATCGCGGCCTCTGGGAGCGAGATTGGGAGGCTCTAAAAAGCTCTAATAACGCTAATGCTCGACATGCTCAAATTACCGCCCAGGCAGGGCACTTTTCTGTTTTTTATTTTTTTTATTTATGTTTTGAGAGGAGAGGTGGCGACCCTTACATCACTCTTAACATTTGTCTTTTTTTCTTTGAAAAAAACTGTAAACTGAATTAAAAAGGAGAACTAGAATGTATCGTTCAGCATATACGTAATTTTGTTGGTGCGTGTGGTGCACATTCTTGGCTTTGAACGTTTTGTTGTAACTCATTTCTGTCGCTAACCTCAAGCACTATGGTCAAGGGAGCCGCTTCTTGAACATCTATCAGTCTGATGTCCTCCAATGGTCATTCTGCAGTGATTGTGCATTCTATGCCACATTCATTAAAGATAAACGTACCATGCACCGTATATTCAGTAAGGAAAAATGTTAAGGGGGGGATGGCCTATTCAAAGGAGAGAAGTTTTTGGAAGGGAGGCGCCAATTTGAGCATTTACGCCAAGTCTCCTAAACGAAGTAGTATAAATAATGCATTCATTCCATAATTCAGGAAAGTACGCCAAAGAAGACTTTCGCCGATCGCCTTTTTTTCTAACCTGCGCTTTCAAATCTTCGACTAGTAATTGTAACTCTGAAATCTCCCCTTGTAATTCATCTCTTTCTTTGATAAAGTCCGTGTTTTTGAACTTGTTAAGTAGCTGCATCTGTTCAAGTTCGGACTGGAGCTCCGCCTTCTCATTTTCCAGGTCAGTAACTTTGGTAACGAGTTTCTGGTTCCAAGCCTTAAGATCCATGTTCTCCTTCTCCAGTTTTCTACAAGCAAAAATCCGTGAAATAGAAAATAAACACCAAGGATCTCGATATAAGCGTGCTTTAAAGCCACATACGGAAAACCTCTGACATCGCCTAACGCCCCCACCCCACCCCAGCCGGCACGAGCAAGAAAAACAAGGTATTCCACAAGTTTCTAACTTGCATAATTGGCGGTGTTGTTGGAACACGATGGAAACTTCGCGGGAAAAAACCAGCTGAACGGGTATCAGAAAGGAGAAAAACCAACTTTATTCAATTCTTCACGCAACTTCATTGGTAATTTTCCTTGATCGACCTTCGGTAAAACCGTCAGCTACAAAGCCTAAACACGTTTCACGATATGAGGTCGTTCAGTTTTGCACTTACTCGGCTCTCATTTGACTGTCAGTATCTTCCATCACATTTTCCTTCAGCCATTCTGAAACTCGGCTTTTAGGGCTCTCCGGAGGTAGTCCCTGTAATAAACAATAATCAAACCAAAATCAAACAGAATTTTGAATCTTTTACAGCAGTTGACCGGTAGCTGCTATGTCTTGAGTAGCAGGTACGCATCCGACGTACACTGCACATCTCTAGGGTGTAATCTTTGTAACTGTAAAGTGTAAATATCATTTGTAAACGCACGAAAAACCTAAAGAGCGCTCTTGCGGGATTTGCAAATGTCGGGTCAGTTTTGGAGAGACGGGAAAACTGAAGCACCCGGAAATTAACCTCTTGAATTAAAGAAGCTAGAGAACCAACAACAATCTCAACCCACGGTCGTCACTTCGCTGGAAGGACCAAGGGCAACACCACAACAACACGGTTCATACAAAAAATTACAACCATTTTTCAAGGACTTTTCAAGTACCACATTAGCTTTTCAAGGACCATCTACTAGGAGTATAATTTCACAGATTGTACAAAAATGTGCATTCCCAGTCTATTCTAATAAGGCTTTAAGGCTTGAAATGTTTGCTTCACCAACTTCTCTACATTTTTCAGTTCACCTGTCTTAAATTGATAGTTAATTATTGCATAAAACATAGAGCACTCAGCGTAAATAACCTTTAAATTCTCTGAGCTGTGATTCATATTCTCTGTTGGACAACCAAAAAGCATCAAAAAACACTTTCCAGGCCACTAAATTCAAAGTTGAAGAAAATTCAAGCACTTTTCAAGGACTTGCATAGAAATTTAAGGACTTTTCAAGGCAAATTGAATTCAAGGACTTTCCCTTAAATTCAAGGACCTTTACGACTGTACGAACCCTGAACAAGATGGATCTTTATACTTGAAACAAAGTTTGTCTATATTACATTCTGTACAAAGACGTTACTTTCAGGACGTCTTCTTGTCTCGTATGCTTATTCATTCCAAAGAAATTTACACTTATAAAATGCAGGTCCACCCGCAAATAACAAGGGCTTACTACGGGGTGTATACTGCATAGCCAAATGCTTATCAATACGTTCGTTGTTACAATAAAGGAACAGTGAACAGATACATTTAAACAGGTGTACACATGAAACAAATTAAAAATTAAATCTGGCAAAAAGAGAGGATAAACGCCCTTGTATGGGAGTTATATCCAGGGTTTCTTGACTGATTTTAATACAGGTTAACAACAGAGTGTCCGTAGTAAATACCTGGATATCTCCGAGGGTATCTTCGGACTTGGACTGCAGAAGAAAAAGGAGCACGAAAAATACATGGATGAGAAACCATATAGAGGATGGGAGTAATATAATTGTATTTCAGCAGATCGATATTATGTTGCGGAAGTAACTCAGAATTGCGGGCAACAAACATCGTGACAGTCGCTTATCCAGCCTGTCACAAACCTCTACGTTGACTTAACGGAAATAATCGTGGAATATTTTTACGCTCATTGAACGTTCAACCTTAATAGCGAGCAACGTGAGAACCTTATTTCTTCTTTCAACAGCACTTTTTACTCAACATGCACTTGTTAATCTCGAGAGTAAAGAAAATGAGGAAAATCAACTCAAATTCCCATGATTGGTAGTAAAAAAAAACGAAAAACACTGTGGAGAATATACTTGTTGATATTACTGCTTAAACAGTTAAAGGCGCGTCTCTCCTTACCTTACTTCTTCCTTTAAACGAAAACTTGTTTTTGAAAGAACTTAACGAAGACACTGGCGAAGTGGATATGTTTAGAGACGGGTTCTGCTCCTCTTCTTCATCACATTCTGTTAGATCTTCCAGTGCAGCACTGACGACTTTTCTTCTCTCTCTGTTTCTTTCCAAGAGTTTACGGCTGTAGCTATCGGACTGAGCCTGTAAATCTGTCTCTAAGTCTAAGCTTTTTTGTTTTCTGTTGTTCTACAGTATTTTACGTTATTTTAATTAAATTAATTAATTTACCTATTTTTCATTACTATTATTTTTTCTGCTACATTCAAGATTTTTTTCTCTTTATCTTTCGTGTGTCACAACCCTATAAAATGTAATTTAATTATTGTAACTACTCAGCTCGTATAGTTTTTTACCTGATATATTTTAATTTCTTCTTTTCTTTGTAAATGTTTTTTACGTTGGCAAATAAAATGGTTTGTTGTTGTTGTTTGTTGGTTGTAGGGCCATGGTAAAGTGGTGGACGAGTTAAAGGGACTATGTCATGCTATTTGCTATCTTTTCAAAACGCTAAAACTTTTTTCGCATTAATTGAATTCCAAAACAATGGTCCAGTTTTTTTAAATTATTTAAGGCCATATTTAGGTATTGAAACTGTTTCCTGTTTTCTGTTGCAGCGGATGGCAAGAATGCGCATGGATAATGATCGGAAACTTGAAATAGCAGCTCGTGGTAAGGAACTTCAACAAAATCGCTTGGTCAGATGGACGGTTTAATATTTATTGTCTCACCTTGACTGACGTCATTAGTTGGAGTATCAGCTAGAGGATTACCAATCACAACAAGATTTTGATATTCCAGCGTTTTCATTTCATCGATGAACTGAGACCAGGTACTGTGAGAGAATAAGGTGTTAAACACGAAAAACATCCTTTAATTTTATAGTTACCTGAATGATCCTTCAACAAATTAACTGCACAAAACTCTGGGACCAAGTCCCAGTAGTTGTATGATAAAAAAAAAATGTACATTGATTAATTCATTGTCTGACTGACTAGTTAGATGTTTGTTTCATTGATTGATTGATGATTGATGATTGATTGATTGGTAGGACGGACACGCGGAAGGAGAATACGACGGACGGACGAACGGACAAAGGGACGGGGGCCTGGGAGAGGGGATTTCCATCTAAAGTGTTGGGAACTCGTCGACTCGCTTAGGGGTGTAAATTGCAAATTTTGGTCTCACTTGAGGCGTTTGGGACGAAAGGCCAATATTTTTGGCTATAAGGGTATCACTTAGGGTGGTGTGTAGAGAAATACCCATACGAAAAAGGCAAGGAATGGATATCAGTAGTCCCTCAACATACTTACAGTTTTGAACGATCTGCAAGTTTATTTGAGCTGTTTTCCTTCTTCTCTTCTTCGTTCTTCTCCTCCTCCTCGTCACTGTATTCTGCCAGCTCAGAAAGTCTTGATGTGAACTCAGCTTCACTGAGATGGCTGAAGTTACTCTGCATATCATCCTCACTTTGAGAGAAAATATCGAACAGTAGAATCAGAAAAATTCTTCTAAATAGTACATAAAAGTCTAGTAGTTAATAACATGTAGAAAACAGAAAAAAACGGCGCGAACGTCGAACTTTTCATGGGACGAGCCAAATTGCCATTTGGGTCGACCTTGATTTAGTTAAGGCCTTTGCTGGATGAAGCGTGGAACTTTAACCCAGCGTCGAACTAAGTAAAGAAAAAGATATGACGCGAAAAAGTTTACAGTCGTACGGTGGAACCCCGCTATGTGGAAAATCATCGTTTTCTCGACGAACACCACTGCTATTGCTTCAAACGGGGCACCTTTACACCATCTATCCGTCTGATTGGACTGATAGAACGCGTTTGTAGATCCAAACTCAGTAAAACGAACTTAATCTGAGACAAACGTCGAACTTATCATGAATTTAGAAGAAGTTAACTCACTCAGTTTGATTTGTTGCATGAAAAATTCGACGTTTGGCCCTAGCCTTAGTTACTTTTGTGCAATTTCTGCAAATGCCAGGCATATTATATATCATATAACATCGGGACAGGAAGAAAAAAAGACGCAACGCTACACTCTAAACATTTGTCGATTGTACTTCTCAAAAATGTTCTTTTGTAGCAAAATGTTTAAAACACTCCCCTGAAAAGGAAGGTATTGTGAAACTAAGGTAAGGCAAGCCAAAAAAGCCAAACCTATAAGCGGAGATCCCGCTGAAACCTGATCGCTTGCAAGAGTCGAATGCACAAATTTTCACGCAAGTTCAAGATAAAAAATAACAAAAAGAATGTACAAATCATGATCGCAAAAACATGGTCGATCCAATCGGTAGCGCAATCTGCACCGTCGCTTTTTCCACGGAAAAGATCATCCTTGAAAGCAAATAATTTCATTTTGCCAGCATGAAGTGCAGTGTGACTTCTCAGATCACAGAACACGTACATGAAAAAATGTTATAAGAACTGATTTGTGACCAATTTACAACTACTTTGGTCAATCTTAATATATTTTGATGTCATCTTTAATCTAAAAGGACACACGAAAAAGTTGAATCAATTTGTTAAATTGCACAAGCGCTATTATTTATTTTTGCATCAATCTACATACTCCACTTTTCCTTCCTTTATGAATTCACACTTCACTTTTGCTCCCAGCCTTGCTGAGGAAATTTTCTTCGAGAGAGCTTTAAATTCCATTTCTAAGTCAAATCTACATAGACAATATGAAACCAAATATAAGACAAGATCTTTATGACAATAATAAGAAGTAGAAGAAGAAAATTATAGAAGAATTATATTATAAAATAATACAGTACTGATAATAATAATGATAACCGATTTAACACATCATTGTGATGGGTATTGCTATTAAAGGGGTCAAGTGAAAAAACAAATTACAAATGTGTCTACGGAGGATTTACTCAGATTCATTTGATTTTCACTGCTTTACTAATTAAACTTTGCAAAGATCTTGACTGTCATCAATGGCCACTGTCATATTGTTAAAAACCTTAAAGACTTAAATATTTGCTGTTGACATGATGTTTCCATTTTTGCTTTTCCATTCTAGCATACAAGTTAACCCATAGAAGGTTTAAAGACAAATTTTCTGGTTGGCAGTTTATTTATTTATTTATCTAATTTTTTAACAAAGTCATTTTTAAGTAGGGTAACCCCCTTTTTTCATCCATTTTCGTTTTCATTCAGCTGGGATTAGTTCGTCCCCAGACTCCTCTCATTTTGTACGTCATCATGCTGACGATTAACTATGGCGTGAGCAGCAAGAAAATTGTTTTTGCTACTTTTTGTGGGCCACGTCCATGAGAAGAGGAGTTTTTGTCTACTAGCTGAGGAGTTTCCAAGTTTTTTTGCTCGCTAATTGGTCTGCTGCAGAGGCTATCTGAAGTATTTTAGAGTAAGTAATCATTTACTTTTTTTTTTTCCAAGACCTTTCAGTACTTTCATGTGTCAATGCTGCAGGCATCTTGCTACGGTTATAGCTAATGGATCTATTTGCCCTATATTATATTATATTATATATTAACCCTTCAGTTCCTTTTGTTTTATTTTGCACTGTGTATTGTGTTGGACGTGGCTGCATTGCAGTTTGTTGGTTGCTCAATATCGGTGTTTTTAACTTTTAACATTTTACTTTGCACTGTATGTTTGTGTTGGACGTGGCTGCATTGCAGTTGTTGGTCGCTCAATATTGGTGCTTTTTCTAACTATTTAACTATTAATCAATTTTATTTGTTTTTATGCCTACAACACTCTCATTTACACACGCCCTCCCTCCCCACCTTACCCACTATTTAGTGGAGACTTGGGAACCCTTTCATTAGGGATTCCATACCACGCCTGTAATGCCACAAAGGTTGCTAGAGAAACTACTGTTTTTTTTGTTTTTGTTTTGTTTTTTTGTTTTTTTTTCAAAACCGGGTCTCGAACGACGCTGTACTCTGTTGCCGAATTCTTAAAACTAGTTTGGGTCCCGCCCCCCTTGAAAATGAATTCACAATTTGATGATTCTGAAATAATTTAGCGGCTCTCTTGCTCTTTTAAAGACACCACATATTTCTCAAGTAACCAGTTTATTTTCATAGACGTCAGCTGTGCCTCAAAAGACGTATGCCTGATAAG